AAGGACCTGCTAAACCCCCCCCCGACCCGATCCTGGAATAAGCGATGAAAGATGAGACAATTGATTTTTCCAGCTATTAATTGAAGGAACCAAGACCTTGGCCTGTCAGGCAAAGATAATGTAATGTCAAGTTGCTTATTCAACTAATCGGTGGGCGGTTTAATATTTTAAGAAAAAAATGTGGAGAAAATAGGGGTTTGATGAAGTGCCCTTTCAGTCCTGCTGCCCTTCAAAAGTGGCTGAACCCTAACACCCATAACAATTATACGCATTTAGTTAAGCGTATTTCCCAGGTAATGTATTTCATCTGGTACAACTATTCTGTACAAAATAAGACACTATATATCTGTTTTGTTGTTTTGAGGTGCTGTCGCAAAATGTGCTTTACAATAAACTTAACCTAACAATTGCTTTAAGCGAAGTGGAAGCTGCTGTCTCTCTCATTTTTGATAGGCTGTTTGTGTTAAATTAATCAACATTTTATTATGAGCCCCAAGAGACAGTAGAAAACAAGGTTCCATTTATATTAGATAAGGTAGGTTCAGCTGCAATTTATGTGAATTATTGAGGTCCAAAAAGTCTTTGCTTTTTGAATTGGACAGACTACACAAATACCAATACTCCAAATATCTGAAAGCAGGGTGTTATAATAAGCCAACCAACACTAAGCTCTTTTCTGATTCTCTTTCTGATCAACCAGTTTAAACTGAGTTAAAAATAGAGGCGGGTTATGTGCCGCATTCTAAGCATCACTAACCTAAGTGCATGTGATAGGCTAAAGTGTAATTTGCCACAGACGTAACACAGCTCTACTTGCCCCACGGTCAGGGCTCTCCGCAAAGTTTCAATTTTTATGCCTCGTTACAGATGGCCATGAAGCCAAGCAGATAATCCAACAGAAACTCCGTTGACTGGGTTTTTTCACCTCCATTTATGGAGAAGTCAAATGTATATCTTAAAGAGATTTTTCTTCTAATTGACGCCATTTGCAACAATACTGCATGGCAGTGGCCTTTGAGGCAATGCAGTGCTTCTTTCACCGAAAAGGGCCCTATTATGTTATCATGTGTAAATTATGTAAGGGTATAAGACATTTAATGTGATTGATTCATGATTTTGTATTCCTTCCAAGACGTGGACGCAAAATGGTGGAAGCCTGCAGAGACTGAGACCTGGGATCGCAAACAATACGTGAGCTGTGTTTTGGTAAGTGCTACACCAGTTCACGTTGACTGAATGAAATGAATTTCTCCAAGAGTTTTCATCAAGGATTTAGGCTTCTTATACTGCCAGTAATAGCTGAAAGTCCCATCGCGAGGGATTCAAATTTTTTTCAGATTTGTTTTGATTTGTTGTGCCTAATAATTGCCTGATTTCAGAGCAAGCTTTTTACTAAGCTTTCCTTAAAATCGAAGCTGTTTTGGGGTGTAGACCACTAATTCTTTCCAGGAGACAGATTTGTATGCCTCTCTCCCCCTGGGATTAGATAGGCTCTGGGAGAAGTTTGGAAGCAAATGTACGATGTGCTGGTGAAACCAATTTTTTTTCAGTGGGTCAAATGAACCATAATCTGAAAAATGTTACAGAAATTAAATTTGAATATAGATAAGAACCAAAAATGTTACGAAGGAGGCCTACGCAGTTTCGCTGGCTCGTTAAAGATGGATCTATTTCCACAATGATTTACGGTGAGAATAATGTAACACACCACCCCAGTAAACCTATGTGTTAGCATTTGTTGTAAGACAGTTGGGTGGATTCCGCTCAAAGCAAGCCCTGCCTGACTGGAATTAGCATATACATATAAGCACCCACTTCACACCTTTTTGGACCCCATTTTAGACCAAAAATAACAAAAAAACCATAAGACCTGAGTCCATTGAAAAGCTTTTTGCCATCAGATGCAGTTTTTATGATTTTGATGTTCCTTAGTTAGGTGTGGAGGGACTTGTTGTGGCTACAAAACACTTGAAAGTGGGCCCAGAAAAGAGCTTTTTGGTGAGACAAAGGTAAATAAAGCAAAACCGCGTTTTAGAGAAAAAAGTAAAGGTTACAGGGCTAGCTTGCTTTTGTGCTGTATCACGGTTAAAATGATCCCAAATGGATAGGTATCAGGACTTGAAAGAGCAGCAGGGGGAGGAAAAATCAATTTACATAAACGCGAATCA